TCTTTTCTTCTTTAGAGTCTTGGCCCCCAGGAGAACATTCAGCACTAATAAATGTCGTTTGGTGACTGAAAGAAAAATGTGAAACAATTTACACTACACAGCCCCTTTCTTCTTTATTCTTGATTGGATGGTCTTGGGTAAAACATACTCATTTTTTTGTGGAGCAGGGAAGGGGGTCTGGGGAGTGAGCCCAGGGTCTCATATACGCTAGGCAAATGCTCTACCATTAAGTACAGCTCCTGACCAAATATACGGATTTTAACCAATATGATAGCAAGTGACCTGAACCCCAAAATGGCCTGCTAAAGTAGCCCTTGGGGAAACAGACTAATATTCAGCATCAATGTTCTGGACCTACTTATAGTTACCAATTATTTAATAATTTACATTTACCTGTTTGTCTTTGTGAGGGCACCTCAAGGTTAAGAAATAACATTTCCTCCTAATATAGCTGGATTTATTTCATGATCACCCTCCTTTTATTCAAAAGTTTCTGATTTCAGGTCTGTGGTGGGTGCCAAGAATATGCATTTCTAACAAGATGATACTGCAGTTGATCTGAAGACCACACTTTTGAGAATGAATGTTCTCTAGCAGTAGACCAAAAGTACAGTGTAGCAAAGTTCTTTTAGAAGTCATACTAGGAAAGAAAAAAGATCCTCTTGCCTGGTATTGCTAACCTAACTTATAACATAACGTGAAAGCAAGAAACTCCTGGCTAAGATGTTGTGAACTACAGCAACATGGCTGTAGGTTAGGCTCTATTTAATTGTTTTTATTGAACTCTTAACACTTTTACATTCCTTTACAACTTCATGGTCTTCCAGAGCGCAAAAACACAAAGTGCTAACTTAGTCCAGTACATAAAGAGAACTGACCCACAACAATCACTCCTTGTACATTGCAACTCGAAAAAAATATTTATCAACAAATGAATTAATACTGAGCCTTACAGGACATCTGGAAAGTTTTAGGGACATATGGGAAAAGGCTTTTGTTCTAATATACTGAGTTCATACAGACGCTTAACACTGAGCCTGTTATGTAAGAATGGCAAGGATGACAGTCAAATGAAATAATATCATCAAGCCCAAATTTCACTTTTTCCTATAGGCAGAAATGCCATTTAAAAAAGAAAAGAAGCTTCTCTGAAACCAACTATGCCCCCACGAAATAAATCAGAGAAGGTGTTTTTTCTCATGAACTGCGGGGATGCAGGATGCAGGAGTGCGGGAGAGAAGAAGAGTAAGAGCAGGGGTCTGGCCCAAAATGGTCCGTGTGGGGCTGAGAAAAGAGACTGAGGATCTCAATACTGAGGTGGAGACACAGTAAAAAACTGTAGCCTCCGTCCCGAAAAGGCAATGCGGGGAAGAGGCGGGGTTAAGCCAGAACAGAGTGGAGGAGAAAGAAATGGTCTCTCACCTCTAACGCCGCCTGGGGATCCTCTTCGATCAAAGCATCTGAAAAGCACTGGAAAAACCTGCCGGGAAAACAACGACTTCAGCAGAGCTCGCTAACCAAAGAAGGAGGGGCGTTTAAAATAAACAACAAAGGGAAAGGAAAACACGCACCGCTGAGCTGTTGCAGGTTCTGCTGCGGCCGCCGCCATCCCTAACAGCCACTGTCGCTACCGCGGGAGCTGCTACTACCGCAGTTACCAGGACCGCCGCCGCCCACGGGGGAAACTTCTGGAGAAACACCAACCGAGCTTCCGTCCTAAGTAGCCAACGAGCAGGCACGCAGCGTGCGGCTGGGGGAGGGGAGGCGACCAGCAGGCGCAGGGCCAGCTGGGAAAGTGGAGGACCGGTTGTCGCCGCCGTGTCTGGGGTCCCGTGACCAGCTCTGACAGTCCCTCCCCTCTCCCTGGAAGCCATGGTTACGGAAGCCGCCAGCACACTCATTTGCCCTTTCTTCCTCCTTGTTCGCCCAAACCCCGCCAGCACTCTAAGACAGCCTTCCGGAATAGTCTTTCAGAAGCACTTTTGTAACGCACTGTTATCCCTCATGAACTCTTGGCGATTGAAGCGTATGCATGTCTGTTAATAACACAAACTGCATTGACATATTTTCACCGAAGTTCTCATCATGGTTACCGCAGAAGCCCAACCTCTCGTGAGTGGTGACGTCATTCGCGACTGCGAGTGTTTTTCCGGGAGCAGAGTCCCGGATGGCGCGTGGATTCTCGCGATCTTTTCGCTGAGTACTCGAATGGGTAGGGACTCGCCGGAAGTCGTTTTGGTCCTAGAGAGGCGACCGAGGAAAACTGTTTTCTTCCCGGGCGTGTGTGTCCCTCAGTGTGTGGCCCAACCTTTCTTCCTAGTCGGCTTCGCAGACCAAGAACAATCTTTTCAATCCGAAAGTACCCAAGGCAGGAAAGTGGCCTAACATTGTCTCATTGCTGCTTTATTTTCCAACCCAGTTGGCCAAGCCCTCTTCCACCGTTCTCTGGCCCAAGTAGATCAAACTAGGAAGCTTCCAGCAAGTTTCACGGGTCGGGGTTAGAATGGGGAACTGGAGGGAGAGTGAGAGGCACTGTAGATTTAAGTAATTTGAGTGTCTGGTACATCCATAGTCCACACTAAACTCCGAGTCTCAAAGATGTTAATGCCCTCAAGAAGTTTAAATCCGTTTTGTTCTAAGCGACAGAATGAAAGAAGTGATAACAAGGCGCACTTAGCTGAAAGACTACAAAGTTAACTTCCTCAAAGACTAACTTTGATACCAGAGCTCGTCCTTGAAAGATGGGAGTCGATGAAAGGAGGGAAAAGGCAATTAATTCGGACAAAAACAATGTGTTTGAAAACATAATCGCTAAAATTTGAATTCAAATTCAGTCAGAGAAACTAGAGCTAGATCATAATGGGCAAGGTGTGGTGTGCCAAGAAGCATGGGTGTTAACTCTCCTGGCCAATTCATTAAGAGATTTTTTTTTAAAAATCTGCAAAGTCATCAATAGATTTGCATTTTTTAGGTAAATTATTTGTATTGTGAAGGAATGATTAAAGGGACAAGGATAATAGTTGTTGGGAAATAACTCTTAATATAGGTCAAAGAAATGATTTCTAACCCACCCTAGAGTAGGAGAGGGAAAGTATGAGTTCAGATAATCTTGAGATAAAACTGCCAGGACTTGCCAGGCACAGATTGGGGAGCAAGCCTGTAATCCCAGCCAGTTTGGGAGGCTGAAGCAGGGGGATTGCGAGTTCAAAGCCAGTTTCAGCAAAAGCAAGCCCTGAGCAACTCCTGAGACCCTGTCTCTAAATAAAACACAAAATATGGCTAGGGATGTGACTCAGTGGCGAATGCCCTGGAGTTCAATTCCTTGTACCACCCCGCCACACACACACACACACACACACACACACACACACACACACACAAACACAAAAAGAAAAAGATATGAATTGAAAGGGAAACAAGTTTTTGGTTTGGGTAATTGGTGAAAGATTATACCAGTAGCTAAATTATAAAACTGAAATGAAGCAGATTTGTACAGAGAGGTGAAGAGTATTCATTTGGATATAAAATTTTGGAGTTCACAGCATACACTAAGAAATGAAGACCATAATGATGAGACCTTTTGAAATCTTTTACATAACCATTTTTTTGAAGTTTTCTTACCGGTTTATAGTAGCTCATATGGTTTAGAATGGAGTCATTTATTCGATACATCTATTGCAGATATATTCTCAGTTGTCTTTCATCCTCTTAATATTTGTAAAAATGTAATCCAGCTTGTATGTTCAGTGCCTTTTTGGGTCTCATTTAAATCTTTCCCTACACCAAACCTGTGAAAATACTTTGTTCTAGATGCTTTTACTTTTCATGTTTACTATCCGTCTTGAATTAATTGTGTTAAAGGTATGAGGTTAGGGGTTAAAGTTCATTTTCTCTCCCATACGAATATCCAATTGATCCAGACACATTTATTGAAGTTTTTCATTTCTCCTTATTTAAATTGTATAGCACCTTTGTTGTCATATGTAATGTTGAAGCCACCATCTTGGAACTGGGAGTTCTAAAACCTGCCAGTACCTTGATATTGAACTTCACATTCTCCAAAAATAAATTTATGTTTATTATAAATTATATAGTCTTAGGTATTTGTTGTAACGACATAAGTAAACGAAGACACTGTACTTATATTGTGATTTATGCAGTGAAAAACTGCAATACTAGTCTGGTTAAAAAGATTTTATTGGCCTGGATTATAGTATATTAATATTATATACTCTTAAAAAAATCATTTTAGAATAATTAGAATGAGAAAATAAGTGAAAGTTACTGCTGGGTATAGGTATTGAATTACAATTTATATTTTTCTTAATGTTTTCCAAGTTTAGCAATTAAGTTTCTAATTAAAAAACTTGTTTTAGGCTGGGGATATAGCTCAGCTGGTAGAGTGCTTACCTTGCATGTACAAGGCCCTGGGTTCAATCCCCAGCACCACACACACACAAAAAAAAACTTGTTTTTTACAAGTGTGTTTAATATTGTTGAGAATATTTTATTGTTACCCGATTCTGGGAGCTTGGGTGCTATGGTTTGAATGTCTGTAACTGTTAAGAGGTAGGACCTTTAAGATTATCATCACCAGAGTAGATCTGTTATAAAAGCAGCCCCCTTTTCTGCTTTCTGTCATGAATGACTCAAGAAATGCCAGTATCATACTTCCTGGTCTCCAGAACTGTGACAAGGATCCCACCACCACCACCCCACCCCACTCACCCCATACTGGGGATTGAACACAAGGGCCCTCTACATCCCCAGCTCCAACCCTCAACCCATTTAGAAAAAAAAAATTTGACAGTTGCCAAGACTGATCCTTCTGCCCCAGTCTCTGAAATTTCTTAAATTTCCACTGCACCCACCTGAGAAATAAATTTTATTTATTTATATATATATATATATATATATATATATATAAAATCATTTAGTAGTAACACTGTAAATACTAGTGAACAATCTCTGTACATTTGTTAAGAAATTTTTGCCCAAAAACAAATATTGAGAATTTCACGATTTATTTAATAAACCAATTAACGATACAAAAAACGTTTAGAGGATTCCAAAATTTAAATTTTCATTTAAATACAAATTCACTTTATAATATGAAAACATATAACATTAGACCTCTAAACATGATTTTTTCATCTACAAAATTTTTACTAGAAAAAGTTTGCAGAAAACAATTTTTATTGTGACACTAAATGTACATTATTTACAGTTGAAAAATCTAAAAACTTTTATTTCAGAAACTTGGATATATGTGTATGCAATTCCCTTCCCCTCTCCACCCCCAGTAAAAAATAATCCAAAATATAAAGCTATTATGCTTTTATAACAAATGACTACTCAAGCCAGATTAGCCCAAGACTCAAATTGTTTTCTTGGTCTATAAGAAAGTGCTTTGACTTTCTTAGAATAGCAGTATACCATTTAACACTCAGCAACAAAAGTTTACTATAATGGACCATAGTACACAGTGATCTAAAGAATTAATGAAAAAAAATTAGGATGAATTTATGGCAGATTTTATTGATAATAGAGTGAATTTTGTAGGGATCACTTATTTTTCTATAATATTTAAGCTATATTGCTTTAGGAAATAACTTGATAATGTTTTAATTGATAATTTTAAAATATAGGTGTTAGAATAAAAATTTAAAACTACAAGGGAAACTGGAGATCATTTACTCCTATGTGTCCCTTATGAGAACTGAGGCCCAAAAAGAATCAAGTGGTTTGCATTGCCCAAGATTACACAGCTAACTAGGGGGAGAACCACTCTTAGGATGATATTTTATACTACTCTGCTGAAACAGGTTGAGCCATATCATGGGCATATTTCAATTTTTAATGTTACTTTTTCATAGTTTGTTATACAGTACAACCAACTAAAGTCAATCTAAGAGACATAATTTTAACAAAGAATAAAATAAGTTTCTTGCATTTTAGAGTCAAGACTTAACTTATACAAGTGGAATGAAAATACTTCCTATATAAATTTCCTGTTGCCTTACATTTAAGTAATGTATTTACAAAAGAATCAAAACAGCTAATACAATGTAAAATTAGAAAAGAAACTTTAAAAATGTTTATGGTATAACAACTGAAAAAAAAAATCTCAAAAGGATGTCTTCATAGTATAAAATGCCTGTTCCTTCACAATTGAATTCTGAAACATTTGGAGAATAAAGAGAAACACTTGGGTTTTACTCCCTCAACTAACAAAATCAAAATTAACTCAATTATTTTTTTTTAACAATCGCAAAATTAGGAACCTCTGTAGATTTATCTTAGAATCAGTTTACAGACAACTGAAAATGAGTTCAATTATAAAACAATCATCCATAAATCCTTTGGTACATTATTTAAAAAGAGTTGGGTTCCAGCAGTTCATTTTGTTTCATAGCTACCTGAGAGGCAAATCCATTGGTACTGGATACCACCATCACATAAGGTTGTGGCTGTTGCTCAGTTTTCTCAGTGTCTTCTTTCAAATGATCTTCAATCTCCTTTTTTTCTACCTCCTGTATAAGAGTTTTTGTCTCTTGAGCTTTGATAACTGAAGTAATTACAGTGCCAGGAGGGTGAGCAACGAGTTGTGAACTTCGAGGAGAAAAGGTCACCACAGGTGTAGTAGCACTGAAGGACGGGGATGAAGTCATACTGACGGTTCCATTGCAAATGGACTGAACATTGCTAGTAAGAACCTGTTGTACATGGGCAGGGCTAAAGACAATTGAAGGAGGAGAGCCTGCCTTCTGTGATGGTAGCATGACATTTTCTTTCAGTACTGTCATGGGCTGTGATGATGGAATAGCTTGTAAAATAAATTTCTGAGATCCAGCACTGGCTGATGGATCTGTGCTGGCTATTACCGTTGTAAGTGGCACCGTTTGGAGTGTTACTGTGTGCAACTGCTGATTCCCAGGAGACACGACCACTGGAACTTGGGTTGGAGCCTGTATAGTCCTATTGAGATAACCAAATAAAAGTGAGACAGCATATTCATTATTGAAACCTTAATACTTGACAAGTCATCCTGAAAAAATACAATTCTGGCATTTCAAATGCTGTTTCCCATATTTTTTACACAGAATAATAAACATCATGCCAGGCAAACATCATACATATTTTATCTCTGAAACCATTCATAATGATATCATCCATGAGTGCTATTTAAAAAAAAAAAAAAAAAAAAAAAAAAGCTCCGGGTGAAACGGCATGGGGAGATGGGGGGGGGGGGGGGGGGGGGGGAGGGGGGGGGGGGGACTGGGAAAGTTGGTATGGTGGCACCTGCCTGTAATACCAGTGACTTGGGAGGCTGAGACAGGAGGATTGCAAGTTCAAGGCCAGCTTGGGCAATTTAAGGAGACCCTGTTTCAAAATAATAATAAAGGGTTAAGGATGTGGCTCAGTGGTAGGGTGTCCTGGGATCATTCCCCAATACCACAGCAAAAACAAAAATGATTGAAGAAAAAACTAGGAAATTAAAATCAAATCTGATTCATTTTTTTAAATACTTACAGGATAATATCAATGTGCTCATCCATAATGATTACCAAACTTCGTGATTTTCAATGTTTTTAAAATAACATATAAAGAGGCAAAATGCTCTATTAACTAAAACAAAATCCCTGTCTTAAATGTACATATGACAGAGTTCTTAGGATTTTAATAGCTCATAATTCATATGTATTTACATAAAACAAGTCAGGATTATAATTTATGAGAGTTCTTAGGCTGATAGCATAAAATAAGGTCAAGCTTTGACAAAAATAAAATAGGAGCATGTTTTAGCAATTTTGTAGGCCTAAAGAATTTTCACAAATTTTAGTTACAGAGCTACAATTTAACATAATCTCACTTATTAAAAAGGTACATAAATGATATCATGAGGCAATCTAACTTTAAAAGTTCACACCTGTGAAAGTTACAATTTGGGTCACTGTTATATAAAAAATAGTTGAAAAACTGCATCTGGATATCTACTGTCTTCTCTGAATTCTGTAAAGCATTTTATAAAAGATACTTAGCTGTTACTTTAAATGGCTAAATGCTAGGTTAGATTCCCCATAAACTAGGTTATTAAAGCTAAATTTTAGTATGTTATAGTTATGTGGCCTGTCACATGTGAGAAATGAAATTCTTGAGAAAATAAATGGGATAGGTGGAAAGATGAAATAAAAACCCAGTACAACTTAGGGAGAGCTTCAAAGTATGTGGGAAGACACAGGATGACTAGAGCCTACCCATTCACGTGTGATAGTGATTTACAAATTCAGACTGCCACTCAAGTCATCATTGTGAGCATCAGTCTACAGCAGGATATTAACAGCTCTCTTGAAGGACAAAGCTAGAAGAGATCATGAGTGGGGTATAAAGATTTAATAGGTAGGCAGAATATGGCTGGGAATAAAGGCCAGATGAGCTAATACTAGGCAGGAATGGACAAACTGGGAGGAAACCATCACTTTGGGAGTCAGGGAGCTTTTCCAAAACACACTGTGCCTTTGCCATCTCTTTTCCCACCTGAATTGGAGTAACTTAGGTGGAATGAGAGTCTGAGTATGGTACCCTAGAACCAGATACCATTTTAAAAATAAGGTCCCAAAAGGCTTTCCAGGACAATAGCTTACATCCACGTACTATAGGTAAAACAGTACTTGGCATATAGTTAACACAGATTCTATAATATGTGTAGCCTTGTCATGTTATATAAACACATTTTCTCCATTTTACAAGTAAAAAGAGGTTGAACAGCTTGCATAAGATAACCAGTAAGATAAGAAAGAGACCATCTGACTGCAGACACTCTATGTGTCTATATAGAAACTCTATAGTCAGGCACTATTACAACATACTTCTACCTCTGGAGTTCTGAATAATTTCAGCTAAGATGAATATTTACAATTATATTCTTAAATTACAGGCCATTTTAACTCTGATATCTCTCCCCCTTTTCCTTCTCTAAGATATGGCAGAAACAATAATGTACTTTAAAATTGTCCACATTACTAATAGGGCTACCATTAGGCAGTTAATGCTTTTGTTCAAATTTTTAAAAAATATTTTATCTTTTAGTTATAGTTGGACACAATACCTTTATTTTTATTTATTTATTTTTTATGTGGTGCTGAGGATCAAACCTAGGACCTCATATGTGTTAGGCGAGTGCTCTACTGCTGAGCCACAACCCCAGCCCCTTTTTGTTCGAATTTTTAAAAGACAAGTCTTTTCTAGTTTGAGAAACTAGACTATTGTCTGTCAGAAAATACACATGATTATATATGATATATACAATGTAAATATGATGGTTATTTGAACAAATTTTAAAACAAGTTTCACTAATAAAAAAAAATTAAAGATTTAAGAATAAAATATTATAAACTCTTCCCCAACAACACAGAAATTTCTTTTTCCCCCCTTAATGGTTAAACTGTCAGCTATATCCCATTATATTATATAACAGAGTATATTTTAGTTACTTTTTAAAACCTTCCTAAGCTGCTTATAACCAATTGGTACCACAGTAATAATTTATAATTCATCAAAATTTCTGAGATGGCCTGGGATTGTGGCTCAGTGGTAGAGCACCTGCCTAGCATGTGTGAGGCACTGGGTTTGATTCTTAGCACCACATAAAAATAAATGAATAAAATAAAGATCCATCAACGTCTAAAAAATTTTTTTTTAATTTCTGAGGCTAAGAAAAATAATATAACTTTTGTTGAAGATCTACTAAGATACTGGGAAGTGATTATCACAACGACCTGTAAGTATTATGATCTTTATTCTACAAATGAGGAACCACTCAAAATATTTAGTTCATTTTCACATTTAATAACTGGCAAGGCTGGAAGGTAATGCTTACCTTCTTCCCCCCTTCACCACGCTGCACTTAAGGTAAATTATAAACTGTACATGTATATACACTGGGCAGGGGGGAGGGTACAGGGGATTTAACCCAGGGTCTCTTTACCACTGCTACATCCCCAACCCTTTTTATTTTGAGACAAGATCTCTCTAAGTTGCTGAGGCTTGCTTTTAACTTGGGATCCACCTGCCTCAGCCTCCAAAACTGCCTGGATTATAGGCGTGGCCACCATGCCCAGCTAAAAGACATTAAGACAAGTCAGGCACGTTGGAGCAAACCTGTAATCCCAGCTACTTAGAAGGCTGAAGCAGGAGAATTATAAATTAAGACCAGCCTCAGCAATTTAGCAAGATCCTGTCTTTAAAAAAAAAAGGGGGGGGGGAGCTGGTAGAGCACCCCTGGAATTCAATCCCCAGTATCCCCCCAAAAAGAAAGAAAAACAAGGCACTAAGACAAACTCTTAGTGCTTGAATAAATATTAGAGAAGAAGAAGTTAGGCTAGGTAGACTTCAAGTTTACCAATGGACAATTTTGTGAAAATATTTTATCAGAGATTTTTTTTTTATTTGCAGTACTGAGGACTGAACCTAGGGGCACTCTACCATTAATTACATCCATAGACCATTTTGGAACAGGGTCAGTGGTTTAGTTTTGTTGTTTCATGGACTAACATGAAGCCAGAGTCAAATCAAAATTTGTAAAAACTAAACACAAATGCTGTAAATCAAAAAAGTTTAATTGACTAAACATAGATAAATGCAATTTATGAGATGAAAATAAATGGGTGAAGGAAATACACTGAGATGCTACATGCCTCACTGTAAATAAATGACAGTTCATGTGATCCGTTATAAATCAGTAGGTAATGTGACAAATCATCAAGCTCACTGCTTTGGACTAAACTGCTTGCATTAAAATGCTCTCTCTACCACGTACTAGATATAACCAAGCTCCTGCACCTCTGTTTCAGTTTCCTTATCTGTAAGATAGGAATTTCAGTGGCAGTGGTGGGGATTGCATACTAGGTAAGCACTCTGCCAAATGAACTACACCTCCAGCCCTTCAATTTTTTTTTTTTAATTTTTTAAAATGTATTTATTTATTTATTTTGAGATAGGATCTTGCTAAGTTGCCCAGGAAGGACTTCAACTTTAAATATTCTTGCCCCAACCTCCCAAAAAGCTGGGATTATAGGTATGCACTACTATGCCCAGCTAAAATGGGAATATCACTCACATCTCATTGAACTGTAAGAATTCTATATATCACTATATGAGAAGTAAAATATAAAAAGTTCTGCGTGTCAAATTCTTACTATAATAATTGAAAAATCTATATTTTAAATTGTATATGTTCTACTTCCTCTCAACCATAGTGAGAAAAATCATTTAAAGGCCCCAGTTTTTATTAGTCATAAAAATGAGCAATGTAATCAAACTACTATTTATTTTCCCAGGATAATGGTTATTTAGAATAATATCTATTCTTATGGGTTATGGGTTGAAGTTATTTAGAGGTAAAAGTCAAGATAATCTTAACTTACTTGATAAATAGTAAAACAGAAAAAAAAAACAGGTCATAAACTAATCTACAGAGAAAAGGCAAAGTGCTACCAATTTTTGAATCTAAGTGCATGGTAAATAGGTATTTATTATACTGTTTTGACTCTTCCACATTTTGAAATTTTTATAATAAAAAGCTGGGTAATTATAAAATACAACTTCAAAAAATAAAATATCACTATCTTATTAGAAATTATTCTAATAAAACCCAATAATGTTAAAATTTCAGAGTGATATACTCAATTTGCTTGAGGTTCATGCTCTTCAACTGAGCTATATCCCCAACTCTATTAAAGGTTAAACTGCTTGAAAACAAGTAGAATTTGGGGAAAGAAATAAAAGATAAAACCAAATGACAGAAAAAATTTTAAACATATATGATTTTAAAATGTGAGTATATATACATATAAAGGAATGATTTACTACAATAAGAATGTAAGTTTTAACTTGAAAATGTTAAATTTTATATTGCTTCATTCTATAAATAGCCCATTTAAAAAACTCCTTATCCTAAAATGAGGGAAAAGAATGAATACATGCACTACTTCAAAATAAACTCTAAAATGTGAATGTTTAGGCACCAGGAAAATGATAATGAATAAAATATGGCTCCTACATAGCTAAATATGTAAGAGGCAGGCATTAAAATCAACTGAAATGACAGCAGTATGTAACATACAGAAGATAGTATGGCCAGGCAATCAGCTTAAACTAGAGAACAAGAAAGAAGTATAAGAGGCTAAGAGTTGAGGTAACTAAAACTGGACATATTTTATGTGAACACGGATCTAACAAGAATTGCAAGAAAGCAATCTAAAAAAGCTAGTTTAGAAATTACTTGTAGTAATACAGGTTGTACATACCTAATCCAAAAATACAAAATTCAAAGTGTTCCCAAATCTGAAACAAGTGGAAAATTCCTAACCTCATGTGACAGCTCACTGACAAAATATTGTATAAAATTACCTTCAGTCTATATGAATGAGATATATATAAAACATTAGTGAATTTGGTGTTTAGACTTGGTCCTATCCAAAATAAAGCTCTTTATGTATATGCAAATATTCCAAAATCCAATATAAAATTCAAAATCTGAAACACTTCTGATCTCAAACATTTCAGATAAGGGATATATAACATGTATATAGCCTGATCTGAAAAAACATTAGAATCCGGGCAGATTTCATGGAACTGTCAGGGTATTCTAGAAATGGAAATTCGAAAGGGACACTAAGGACAGTTTTTAAACCACTGGGAGAAAATAGATAGCTTTGAATTTTTCTGGCAAGTCTTAGAATATTTTAATAACTGTCATTGGGTATTATTCACAAATTGACTTTCAGAGTAATATCTAATACAGTATTTACAATTTAATACTCTTCAAAGCTAGAGGCATTTTTTTAATTCTAAAATGGAAATTTTCAATACAATTGCTATAAAATTCCACTTAATCCCTCCAACAGTTGGGTCCCGGTGTCTAGATGTAGCCATTTGTGTCTGTTAGCACATATACACACAATGATAAGATGACAATCTAGAATCTAGTGGGAGGAACCATATATTCCCAACTACATAATCATATGGTAACAAACTAACAGGAAATAAAACACTAGAAGGTAAATGCTTGAGATTATATCATTCCTGTCTAATAAAAAAGAAAAAAATCAACTTGAATCATTTGAAAATTTAAGATTTTCCCAATGGCAAAAATTTTAATTTGTACGAAAGGCTGAATTATCCAAGTGTGTTCTTGATTCTAGGTAAAATTAACTTGTATCAAGACCAACTGAACCAACACCTCAGCATTTATATTATGGAATATTCAAACATAGTATGGAAATCTGCAAATGATAATAATCACTTTTATTTGCTTTGGAAGGGTTCCTGTGTGCTGTTACATTTCATGTTCTTGAAATTCATGACAATATAAACAGGCAAAACAACAAAAGCTGTTAAATACCCATTGACTTTTATTCCTTATTCCTTGCCCCTATTCTAAAATCAGGTAAGGGCAGTTCCAAAATTCTTTAGAAAACCAATCTAAAGCAGGGTTTTCTTGGTCAGCATCTATACTCAGGCTCTTAGACAAGTATGATTTTTAAACTGAGAAAACTACTTTTCCAAATTCTGGCACTCTGAAGCCTGAAAAAGACAACTTTAAATTTTTAGCCTCTCCACTTGTTTGAACTTATAGAAGTATTCCATAGTAGGATCTTCCCAAGTAATAACATTTCTTTTTTGGAACTCAGTACAATCTTAATGTCAAAGTATGACAATCTATGTTGAATTTTTTCAGATTCTGACTTGATTTGAAAAAAGATCTGAAACACTTCTCTGGATTTTTCTTACCTTTGGGTCATTCCTTATATAGGTCTATCTAGTAAGCAATAGTTAAAGTGATAGAATAACATCAAATAATGTTAAAGTTTAAAAATAAGGAATCACTGATACAATCAGAGGGCTAATACAATACATATGGCTCTTGAAATAGTCTGTTAACCAAAAGTTGTAGCTTAAAATAAAATGTTCACTTCTGAACCCTGACCCACTTAATAAATAATGGTGCTGGTCAGAAACATATAGTAATTATGCATAGGAACTTTGGTTTTTCTCACCTAATGCTCTGAACAGAGGAATTTAATGTTTCTTCTTGCATGCTATTGGTTACAGTTGCTTCTCCTTCTGCGACAGCTTGTACTGGCTGTACTACATGAACAGTCCGGAAGAGCTGGGTAGGATATGGAGACTGTGAGGGCTGCATTGTCCTCAAAACTTCTGATGGCTGTGTAACTTCTATAGGATCTTTGGGTTTTGTAGCTTTAGAATTCCCTGGCTTTAGAACTGTAGTGGCTCCTTTTATCCCTGGACTTGAAGATACTCTTGATCGGCTTGCTTGATTCCTACTTGAAGTGGTCGATGAAGATAGTGATGGATCTGAAGACTCTATGCTGGAACTTGGATCCTCATCATCTATGTATATAAGATCTTTTGGCATTTCTTTAAACTGATATACCAAGCGCTGACCTTCCACTTTTGCAAGAATACCCCTTTGGTAATAGTACCTATTCAAAGCAGATAATTTCATCAATATCCTATTCAATCAATCAAATTAAAATAATATTCAATAAAAACAAATTTTCCTAATCATAGCAACTTTAAAGTTAGAATCAAACAAGTGAAAAATTTTCTGAATTAAGGACAGTTACCTTATATAGGATACACTTAACACTTAGAGAGAGAAAAGACATTATTGCCAATTAAATCTAAAGTCAATTCTGATTAGGGTACCGTTGAAAAGTAACCAGTCTTCAATTTTCTTCCTTTCTCTATCTTGCTGCTAACTTTCTGGGATAATCAACTATCCTACATATATCAAGAAACTGTTTCCTCTCCATAGCTTCCTGTAACATTAATATGAGTTTAAATTTTATTCAGATTTGTGTGCAAACTTTAATGATGTACAGTACAGAGATCCAAATAGTCTGTCATTGATTTTAACAAAATCAAGAGCCAAAACAAAGTGTAAGCTAAATAAACCAAAAACTTGAACTAGTTCTAATTTTTGTTGTTGTTGTTGTTTATTTAGGTACTAGGGATTAAACTCCGGGGTGCTTTACCACATCTTTAATCCCTTTCTTATTTTGAGACAGGATCTCAATAAATTGCTGAGGATCTAAGAAGAGTTCTAGTTTAAGACTGTCAAAAAGATTATTCTAAAAGATTATTCAGATCATTCTTTTTTTTTTAACTACTGGAGATTGATACCTGGGGCACTTTACCACTGAGCTATATATCCCCATCCCTTTTTATTTTTTGAAGCAGGGTCTCACTTGTGCTGAGGCTGACCTAACTGCCTCAGCCTACAGAGATGTTAGGATTACAGGCATGTGCCATCATGCCTAGTCAGATCATTCCTATTTTTAATCTTTCTCAAATATGTGCATATATTGAGAATAAATGACATGATCCCAGAAAAATAAAGCAAAAGCAAGCTTAAGAATAAAATGGTACCTCATTCAAAATTTCTAATATTAATACTGAAGTATGAATCTATTCCATTATAATAAATAACATCATACCTGAGCTTCATGTTTAAAAATGAATTTCTTACAAGTACCTGCACTACCACTATTGGTATTTTGGGCTAAATTTAAACATAATGGTTCAAAATATGAGCCCTACAGTTCACATACAATTCCTAATGATAGATATTTTCTTAGTAAACTATAGGTTAAGTATGTCTTATCTAAAATACTTGGAACCAAAACATATTTCATATTTAGGTTTTTTTTGAGTTTTTGAATATCTGCATATAGACTTTACTTATTGTGCATCCCTAATACAAATCACCCAAATTTGGAAATACTCCAAAAATCCAACACTTTTTATCTTTTTGCTTTTGTTTGTTTTTTGCAGTGCTGGAGATTAAACCCAGGTCTTTGCACATGCTAGGCACTGTACCACTAAGCCTCTTCCCACAGCCTCTCAAAATCCAAAACCTTTTAGGCACCACAACTTTTTTGCTCAAAAAGTGTCAGATTTGTAGCATTTTGAAATCAGGTTTTTGTTTAGTTCAACCTGTATCTGTTGTTGTTTCCTTCTTTTAAGAAGGAAAATATCTTCCCTGGTTACAATAAGCTTTTAGTTTAAATGTGCACTGATTTCTACAAGAATTGTGGTTTTAAAAAAATTATTATTTCTTCAGTTATACATGATGGTAGAATCCATTTTGACATAATTTACAAGCATGGAATATATTTTGCTCTAGTTCAGACCCCTATACCTCTCCTTCCCCTTCCCTCTCCCCATCCCCACTGATCCTTTCCTTCTCCTAATCTTTCTGCCATTTACCTATAGTTAGTTTTTAAATTAATTTCTTATGGATTTACACAACAGTGAGATTCACTGTGGTATATTCATACATGTACATACATGTACATATGTTAGATTCACTTCACTGTCTTTCCTTTTCCTATCCCCCGCCCCCCACCTTCCCTCCATTCACCTTTGTCTATTCCACTAAACCTCTAAACAATTGTTGTTTTGTAACTCAATAAAATTCACTTCTTTAATCCCTTAGTTTTTAAAAAGTTACCCATTTTTTCAATACCTAGGAAATGGTATTCTTAACAACAACAAAAAAAAACTTCACACACCTGAGTGCTCTTCCCATGGTCTCATAATTCATATCAGGTTTGTTTTTGTGTTTTCCCCACAACCTGGATACTGCTTTAGAATCTACCAGTTTAAAAATGCCTTTTTCTCGTTGAGTCCATTTGATGTATTTAGGACAAGTAGCTTTGTCCTGGAGCAGGGCCAGTAAAAATTCCCAAAGATAAATTGTATTTCCTGAAACAAAACAACTTATTTTTAAATGAACAGAATTTCATTTAAAAGAGCACAATAAAACAAATATAGTTCTGTAAACTATATTAACACAAAATTATTATATAATTCAGTAGTATTGCCGATATATTCAGTTAGAATTGGTGATTTGATGTTCATAATTTTTAAGGTCTAAGAAAGAACTCTGAATCAGTCCTATGTAAGATGACTGAAAAGAGACAATATCTTACCCATTAGATTTGCAATGACTTAGGGAGAAAGCACTTCAAGATATTTTTTTTTCTATTTAAGAGCCATTACATAGAAGAAACATGAAAAAATTATATGAAACTTTACATAGTTGTTGTCTTTATATTAGAACAAGTAGCATCAGCCATAACAGCTTTCCTCAAATTTGAGCAATGGTTATGAAAATACTAGAATTTCAAGACAACCTAATAATGTGTATGAACTGAAATCTAACAGGGCTGAATTCTTCCAAGAGCCTCGTATTATTAAATGAATAAATGGATTATTTTGACATACAAATGAAAATAATTCAAAAGGATTTCTAGAGCTACCTTATTACCAGTTCATTTACAGAAACTGGCAACTCTATCTTATAAACATTGGTAGTAATATATTCCATTTCAGTTTATCAAGAAAACTGGAGGCTTCTACTTACAATATGAAGACATTATAAAGCAATCTCAATGTTACTTGGCCTGGAAGTATTATTGGGAAATTATTGCAGTACTTACCCTTCCCATCTTTGTTTTTCTTCTTCACAGATATATTTGGAGTAGTAGCTGGGGAATCTGGTCGTGGTGGTTTAGTTTTCCTCCCTGAAATCAGAATAACCGTGTAAATATCTGCCCTCAAAAATGAAAAATAATGAACAACTTAGCTATTTTTTCATTTATCATAAGTTTCAAAGGCCAAAATGTCTATACATAGGACAATAAACTTGACCTTAAAATGCTTTTACTAAAAAAAAATTTCAGTAAAAACTTAACATTAATGTAGGTTAGATCACAAACACATTTATGTAAGAAATGACTGACCCATCTGTAAAAATGAGGTTAAATTTCAAATATTGAATCTTGTCTTTGATGTAACCATATTGATAGTGCTTTCTTAAGAAATCGGGGAATATTCTTGACATTGATAAAACTTAGACTTAAAAAATTGGCCACATAGGTTTGTCTGACTCTTGGTTGTACAAGCTTTTTAAGGCAAGAGAAATGGATTTTGAGCTTTTCTCTCTTTATATAAAAGACATTTTTACATAAATTTTCAAATGTTAGAAACTTTTCCATATTCTATAGATATAGAAAATATCTGAGGTAAAATGTGAACCCCCTAATTGTTGAACCACCTAATTTATTCCTGTATATTTGATATGTGTTAGAGGCCTCAGATGTGCTGGGCAAGACTCTGCCAATGAGCTACATATATTCTTAGCCATTTTTAAAAAACTTTTTTCTAAAATATTTTTTTAGTTGTAGATGGACACAATATCTTTACTTATTTATTTTTATGTGGTGTTGAGGATGGAACCCAGTGCCTCACATGTGCAAGGCAAGCACTCCACCACTAAGCTACAGCCCCAGCCCCTCCTTAGCCATTTTTATTTCATTTTGAGACAGGGTTTCAATAAGTTGCCCAGGCTGGCCTCGAACTTGCAATCCTCCTGCCTCACTCAATCTTTGAGTAGCTGGGATTACAGGAAGCACCCACCATTCTTGGCTTGTGTATTTTTAAACACCTCAGTTTTCTATATCTCTTGAAATTCTCAGCAAATTTTATGGTTATCCATCATGAATCTCTAAATCCATCCTGACAGCCTAAATACAGATTGGTAAGTCTCTGTGATTTACTTTTGCCACTCTTCTGGAACTACGGCTTGGTAGCATTGTTGACTGTATTTAGTTGAGGCACTCATGCTGTCTGAATAAACTACCATTCTGTATGTAGTTACTACCTCTCTTCCCCAATATTCTTGAGACTAACACTCTGGTCTAGATCACAGGGTGAATTTGGAGTAAATATTAGACAATAACTTAGAATATCAAAATTTTAGAGCTAAAAATCACAAGGTAAGTAACAACCTATCCCAAGAAACTGAGTAGGAAAACATTTTTGAAATCATTTGGATGAGTAAGAGTACGGGGAAAAGGGGTCAGAAAAGCCTTTTTTTTTCTTTTAAATTTTGTCTTAAGACTATCAAATGCCATAATCTTGGCTACTCAGGAAACTGAGACAGAAAGATTGAAAGTTCAAAGCCAGGCCTGGGCAACTTAATGAGACCCTGTCTCAAAATAAAAGGGAATAAATAGGTGGCAGGGTGGGGGCTGAATGGTAGAATACTTGCATAGCATGCATTGGCCCTATAACCCTCAGCATTATAGGGGTGAGGGGAGAAAAAGCCAAAAATATCTCTAGTAATACTTTCAGCATGTCAGACATCTGTAGAGAACTCCTTCATGAGGCAGATTCTCTGGCTATGTTCATGACAATAAATCATTAGAAACCAAGACTTTGGTAACCTATCATCTTATTTTATACTATATACGTACTCTTCTGATAGAGGTAGGCGATAGGAATAAAGAAAATGTCTAACTAGTTTAAGTCATGACAGACACTGTCCATAGCCTACGCAATATCCATCATCTCCCTTACTATTTCAAGGTGGCAATATACACAGCTTCACATGAATTATAGCTTGGTTGGATAAAAAATTCTTGATTTACAATTATTTCTTTGCCAGGCATGGTGGTGCATGCCTGTAAATCCCAGAGACTTGAGAAGTTGAAGCAGGAGGATCACACGTTTGAGGGCACCCTAGGTAACTTAGTAAGACCCTATGTCTAAATAAAAAATAAAAACGGCTGTAGATTCAGGAATTTTATGTACACATAAGCATATTCTTTTATCATTGGCTTCTTCCTTTAACATAAAAATTTTTGAAATTTATCCATTTTTGTTTTATGTATCAATGGTATGTTCTATTTATACTTGAATGATATTATATTGATATACCACCCGTTCAGTCAATCAGCAGTTGATAGACATTTGGTTTTTTTCTAGTTTTGGGCAAGTGAAAATATGGTTGCTAAAAATATTCAATATAAGTTTGTCTAAACATACACTTTCATTTCTTTTGTTTAAATATTTAGAATGACAAGGTTACAAGTATACATTAAAATTTTTAAGAAACTGACAAATTATTTCCCAAACAATTTTTCTTCATGAAGAAGGGGCCATCATAAGACTCAACTCATTTGTTTCTTGTCTCTCAGGTAACACTGACTTTTGTTTGACTGATATCTATTATCATTGTTTCATATATTTTGCCTATTTTTAGTTGCTTCAGGTAGAAGGGTAAATCCATGTTCTATTATTCCATCTCAACTACAAGTAGAAGTTCCCCTTGGTCTTTTTAAAAATCTTCTTGTTCTTTGAACATGTTATTAACCATGTTAATTCTTTGACTGCTTCTTATTCTTTTGCTTTAGAAACTGTAATCTTCCTCAAAGTTTCTATTTGATCATTTTATTATCTGTTGTTTTCTTAGAGAACTAAACCTAGGGTTTTCTATGTCTGCTACTTTTTACTCAGGAAATGTCTTCCTTGTGTATTTTGTGATACCATAATGTAAGTTCACCTTTAACAGGGCTTTTTCTGAGGAAATCCTATGCGACTTAGGTTCAATGTGCAACCTACCAGAACAATTTTGTGAGTTTCAGCCTGGTGCCCCAATGTTATTATCAGCCTGGAGCCACTTTTATGTTAATTACTTGGCTGGGAATTCTAAAATTAGTGATAGTTTAAAATCTCATCATAAACCTAGTTAAGGGAGACAAGGATCATAAATTCTCAAAGGAAGAATTCTCCAGAGTCCTGGCAGACACTTGTACAAGAAACTTGTACACGTTTCCTTGTATTTGTTAATGGATGGATTTTCCCCCAAGTTTGTATCTCTTTTAGGGTTCCAGTTATATTTTCAGGTCTGAGACTAATACCTCATCTTGCAAAGGCCCAAGACCTAGGCTGCTGCCACTACATAAGCAATAAAAACAAGCCCCTTGACTTAGGTTTCTCAGCCCTTGAGAGCTGCTACAATGTTAGTTTATACTTTTTTACTTTCTTCTTCATTTTTATCTTGGAATTTTCCTTACTTTCACATGAGCTCAGATTATTGGTGGTTGGTGAGGCCATTAACCAAAATATTAAACTCAAAATATTAACCAAGCAGGAACAATGAAATGGAAAGAGCAACAGACTTCAGAAGGCAAGTGTGGTGCCAATTTGTGAAAAGTTCAAAATCCCCTTAAAATTTTCCTCTTCAATTTCTTAGTTGATTTCCAATGCATAAGTTTTCCAATTAGAATCTTATGTTGGAATCAATCACAAGTATAGACTGGTGATTTTCAAATAATCCTCTTTGGGGATGAAGCTGATCTGTCCTTACCCACAAGCTCTTTTTTAAGTTTGAGTTAACAGGGTTAGATTAAAAATCTGAGGCTTTAAAAAGTTGGTAAATCTTTTTTCTGTGATAGACCAAGTATTTTAAATACATAAAATTGTATTTTTTAAATGACCCTAATATGAAGAAATACCTCAATTTGGATTTTTGCCCTCAATTTGTTAATTGGTATAGAAATATCTTTGAGCAGGCACAATGGAACATGCCTATAATCCCAGCAACTCCAGAGGCTGAGGCCGGAGGATCACAAGTTTGGGACCAGCCTCAGAAACTTAGTGAGGCCCTAAGCACCTTATCAAGACACTGTATCAAATAAAATATCAAAAGGTCTGAGGATGTAGCTCAGTGATAAAGCACCCCTGAGTTCAATGCCTAGTGCAAAAAAAAAAAATCCTTGAATAAAATTATATAGATTCCCCATCAAGACTTGATTATTTGCCCCCCAAATTAACCATCTACCTTGAATAAAATTATATATAGATTCCACATCAAGATTTGACTATTTGCCCCCCAAAAATTAATGACCTACCTTTCTTTCTTTTAGGCTGTTCTGGTGAAGAGGCTTCTGGTGAGTCTGCATATGTCTCTTGCACCTGTTGAGTTTCCATCACTTCAGGAATCCCATCTAATGTGACTGATACATGGGTAATTGGGGCAACAACAATGTCATCTTCAGATGAAGTAAATACATTATTATCTAAAGAAAGTAAAATCAACTAATTATAACATGCTGTGTATTATAAACCAAAATAATTTTACATTTCTATGAAGGTTAAAGGAGAAATAAAATTTTAAAATCTATTCTCTGCCTTAAATCAAGTACCCTAGATCAGTGGAGTCTTGATGGTCTATTTCAAAGTCTTTCTTATTTGACTTCCTATCAGTTTATCTTGTCTCTCTCCTCCAGGGTGAAGGAGAAATCTCTCTTGAAATCTAAGTCTGAACTCATCACATTATTCTTCTTACTACATTATTCCTTTATACAAAAGTTTTATACCCTAAAAATTAGAAGAAAAAATTATACAAAAAATATATTCCTATAATTTGCAAGGAAAAATTAAACCCAAACTCCATGGCATGTCTTTTAAAGCTTCCACAATCTAAACCAACCTTTCCAATCACATCTCCCAACTACCATGAAGTTTACAGTTTATCTGTACCAAAACATTCACCTCAAAATTTATGTATTTACCTATGTATGTATGTATGTATTTATTTATTTTACAGGTCTATGTCTGTAGCTCAATCCATTACCTCTAGCTTGAATCCCCTCTCCTGTCTCCTTAAAAGCTTATTCATCATTTACAGCCCAAGTCAAAACACTTTCTCAGTAAAGCCTATCTCTAGTATGAGAGACTGCTTCCTGAATGCTCCTGTCCTTTATTTTTGGCTTTTACCAAATTTCACTGCATAATCAGAGACTTTTTGATAAATTTATTTTTTGCAAAAAAGTGGGGTGCAATCATTATGTGAAGATTTTTTTTTAAAGCTGTATACTACTTAAAAATCACTGATTAGTCTTTGGTGCAAGATTAGGATGCACACATTCCTCATGAATGTATGTGGTCATAATGATTATGCAAGAAATATGGTACAATTTTTTGGTGGGGGGTACCAGGGATTGAATTCAGGGGGACTCAACCACTGAGCCACATCCCCAGCCCTTTTTATACTTTATTTAGGGACAGGATCTCACTGATTGCTTAGTGCCTTGCTTTTGCTAAGGCCGATTTTGGACTCACAATCCTCATGCCTCGGCCTCCAAGGCCACTGGGATTATAGGCATGTGTCACTACAATGGCCTATTTTATAAGTAACTAACTTCAAAATTGAATTCTAAGATTGGGGAAAGAAATAACATCCTATTGTGTTCATGCCTAATACACTGCTATTGCACATATATAAGCAAACATTCAATAAATATCCTGAGTTGGTTTAGTAATAATTAATTTCATGAGTCTGACTGCTTTCATGTCAGAAAAGCTCCCCCTGCCCCCCAAACCATGGATTTTTAAATAGATAATGTGGAGACTACGGGTGTAACTCAATGTTAAAGCACTACCTAGCGTGTATGAGACCCGAGTTCAATTCCGGGCATTGGGGTGGGGGAGTGGGGGAAGGATCTGGATGATGCGGCAATTAATTTTATGCCACAAAAGAACAGTAAAAATTGAGCTGTGGTGTGGCTCAGTGGAAGAGCACTTGCCTAGCATGTGTGAGGTACAGGGTTCAATTCTCAGTACCACATATAAATAAAATAAAGATCCATCAACAATTATAAAAGTTTTTTTTAAAAAAAGGAATAGTAAAAATTTCAATGACTTTGCCTACTCAATGATTATCTATAAAGATCACTTGACTATAACAGTCTAGGATTAAATACCCTAATAGTTTCACGGATGAGGTTAAGAAATTCTGTATAATGTACTATTTGATAATTAGTAAATTACTTTTTGTTCCCAAATTAAAAAGTCATCTTTAACTGAGCACTCTAGCAAAGGTGCCTCAACTAGTACTGTAGCTTAAAATATGCTTATTACTCTAAAATATAAAACATGGTCTCTGATCTCTTGATATTTACCATCTACTAGAGAGAAATGGCAAGAATAAACTTACAGTATACATAAACATGAACAATCAATTACTCACTTATTCGTTTTTCATCCAGCATAGGGCCAGGGGAATCCATATTGAGGAGTGCCTCAGCAGCCTCAATAGTTTCAATTGTTTCATCCCCATTAGGACAGGAAGCTTCAACTACAATACATTAAAAGAAAAAATAGAATTAGCTACAAGATATCTGTTACCCTGAAATTCAGATACTGCTGATCTCCTGAACCAGGAAGCATCAATTAATGTTCCCATCAGTGAATGAGTTACCACCATTTCCAACAACTTTTAGGCACAGTCACATTGTAAGAATCTAAATATCCTTTGGTAATTATAGTATTCTGGTACCATTCTGGGGTATGTTTTATGTAATATTAATTACTCTACCTGGGATTTTAATTAACACAATGTACAAACTATGCATTATTTTAAATAGTTTGAATATATGCCTGAAATTGTAACTCTCAGATTCAGGGTTGGATTGATAGTTTATAACTGTAACCCTTTAAATTTTACACAGACTTAAAAAGCAAATATAAATACAACATTTATAGAAAAAGAATCTCCACACAAGTAAGAGTGAGGTCATGGGTTTTCAAAAATTTTTACTGGCAACCTTCTTTCCAAATGAAAACTTAGGTAGAACTTTAAAGACAAAGTGGTATTTTTTTCATTATACATTTTTATAGGTTCAAATTTATAGCAAATTTGATATGAAGTAAATCAATGATTAAGAATGAAGTTTAAGAGCTGGGTTGTGGCTCAGTGGTAAAGCGCTTACCTAGCATGTTTGAGGCACTGGATTCAATCCTCAGCACCACGTAAAAATAAATAAATATATGATTTGATGTTTTTTTAAAAAAAAGAATGAAGATAAAAATAAATAAAAATAAAACTAGTTTGAAGAACATACAAATCTGAAATCAGGGGTTATAGGTACAGCAACAATCTAATTAAAACTTCAAATTCCATAAAGTAGCTAAATCTTTTTATTATTGAAGTTTCAAACTAAATCAAAATCATGGAACACAATATAATGAAACCCCATGTATTCATTTCCAGCTTCAAACATTACCAAAATATAGTCAATCGTCTTTTTTATTCAAGCCCTACTCTCTGCCCCCACGTTTTTTTGTTTGTTTGTTTGTTCTTGTTTTAGTACCAGGCATTGAACTCAGGGGCACTGGACCATTAAGCCACATCCCCAGACCCATTTTGTATTTTATTTTGAGACAGTGTCTCACTGAGGTACTTAGTGCCTCACTTTTGCTGTGAGGCTGGCTTTAATCTCACGATCGCCCTTGCCTCAGCCTCCTGAGCCCCTGGGATTACAGGCATGCACTGCGCTGGCTATGTGATGTCTTTAATGAGATAAGTTAAAATGAGGTCATTAGGATAGACTCTAATCCAATATGACTAGTGTCCCTCTAAAAAGAAATCTGAACATAAACAGGTACAGAGGGAAGACTATGTGTGAAGACACAGAAAGAAGACAGTTATCTTTATAAGCCCAAGGAAGAAGCAACAGAAGAAACCAAACCTGTCAACACCTTGACCTTAGACTTTTAGTTTCTAGAACAGTGAGAAAAGCCACTTAATCTGTAGTACTTTGAGCCACCCAATCTGTAGTACTTTGTTATGGCAGAAATAGCAAACAAATACATTATCTGAATTATCACCTACTGCACTTAAGAACTAAACTGTTCTTTCTTCCCCCAGAATTTCTCAAAAGCACAATACTCCTTCCCAACTCTAGAATAAGGACACTTACCTTTCTCATGGCATTGCTCAGACAAGGATGAATTTTTAAACAAGTTGCATCAGAATACATTGAAAAAAAAAAAAAAAAACATGCTAGCTACACAACAGATACATGGTAGTGGTGATCATAAACAAACTACATAGATCACAGGCAGCAATGCAAAGAAATTTCTAATCTGACTAATCCAATTCTTTTACTGATAAGAGAAACTAGTCCAGATTCACTAAAAACTTTCATTGGTTTTTCTCTGAATAAAAAAAAAAATATGAATATTGAGCCTGAGGGATGTTGCTAAGTGGTAAAAGTGCTTGTCTAGCATGCTTGAGGCCCTTGGGTTCAACCCTCAGCACTGCCCATCTCACAACAAAGTAAATAATGATACAATGCTTTGATTTAAAAAAAAAAAAAACGGAAAACAGGTACAAAAATTAAGTGTTGTCAGCCAGTGTTATTGATGGAGATTTTGCCACATGATATATAATTTAACCTAACTTCAGTTTTTTTCTATTGTGAGAACTAAATAAGATAATGTACATTTTTCAAAAAACACTTATTACACTAATATGATATATTGAGGAGACAATGCCATTTTCTGTAACATGTTATAAAAAATGTATTACCTTAACCCCAATCAGGAAAAAACATCACACAACTAAAACTGAGGCACATACTAAAAAATATGTAACCAGTAACTTCAAAACTGTTAATATTATGAGAAACATAGAGATTAAGGAAACACAGAAAAGATAACAAACTGGAAGAGACCAAAGAGAAATGACAACAAAATGAAATATAAAATTCAAGATAGGATCCTACAACAACAAAAAAACCATTAGTAAGAAACTGATAAAATATAAGATTTAGGTTTAGTTAACAATATTGTGACCAATGTTCATTTTCTATTCTTAATAAATGTGCAGTGGATAAGATATTAACAGGGGAAGCAGGAAGAAGATCAGGAAACTTTTAATATTACTTTTGTAACTTTTCCTATAAGTCTAAAAACAATTTAAAATTAAAAGTTTTAAAGAAACTATCACAATTTTAGTATATAATAAGCACTCAGCAAATGATAATTATTATTTTGATTATCACTATTACATTTATTACTACAGATAACCTAAATTTTATTCAGTCTCAAAACAATCTTCTATTCCTTTCCCCCAGTGATAGCTAGCCACTATGGGGAATTCCAAAAACACTATTCCTGCTGTAGTTTTTCCAAGTATGTAGAAAACAAACTCACAATTCATCCCCTTTCCAATCTTTATTGTTTATCTTTGGCCATATAAGATTCTATATGCCAGCCACAAACATCACACCCCAGAGCTTTTTTGGATATTATAACAAAAATGTCAACCCAATTTCCAACCCTTTGACCCCAAGTATATGCCACAAAGTTGTCATCATCTTGTTAATCTTTCATCATCTTTTCAATATATTGGGTAAAAATTATCTTATTTTACACCATATTTGTTTACTAAATAAAATCTCTTGGTCATATCAATATATGTTTATATATTTTTTACTATTGTTCCAATTCTATGCCCATTTAAAGTTGCTACTGATTTTTTAAAGCTCTCTATGTATTAATAATTAATCCTTTGTCTACCGTGTAAATTCTAAGTATCCATCTATCAATCGCCTTTTTGTTTCAGTTATATGTTTTGTGGGGATAAAGATGTTTTCTTTCTTTATTAGCAATGTCTATTCATCTTTTTCCTTTGTACTTTTCTCCTAATTTTCATGCTTACAAAATCCTTTATTACTTTCAAATCAAATAGTCAACTTCTTAAAAGGTTTTTAATAGTTTCAATTGTTATATTACATGTTTTCATCCTTTTGGGATTTATTTTGATACTTTGGAGCACGATCAAGGCAGAGCTCTAACTTTCTTTTCTCTTCCAACAAATGGATACACATTCTTCCCTTCTGTTCTAATTTAAAATGTCACCATATTACATGTAAACTCCTTAAGTAGACCACTACCTGCACTTAGACTTAATATTCACTTCCAATATTCCAACTGACTATTCTGTCACTAATATCACCTACTTCAGTTACTGTAATTTAGGAAGTTTTAGTATTTGGCCAGGCATGGTGGCAAATGTCTATATTCTCAGAAACCCAGAAAGCAGGAGAATCACAAGTACAAGGCTAGCCTAGGCAATTTGGTGAGACCCTGCCTCAAAATGGAAAAGTAGAAAGGACTGTGGATATAGCTCCCCAGGGTTTAATCCCCAGTATTAGGGGGAAAAAAAAGTTTTAGTATTTGGTAGCATACTTACTGGTATAAAACATTTTTACTAAATATATACATATATATATACATATATATTTATATACATATATATATATATTACTGATATATACATATATTCAGTAATATATATGTATATAAATATATTTATATTTAGTAAAAAATGTATTTATTCATTAAAAATTATATTTTATTTTTTAATATATTTTAATATAAATATATTTTATATTTTATTCAGTAAAAATTATATATTATGTATTATATATACTATATAATATATATGTTATATATATAACATATATTATATATATATGTTATATATATAATATACAGGCACTGTGCTAGGTGTTAAGTTAAAGCTAAGAGAACAAGGCAACCAATACTTGTCACCAAGAAAACTGCAGATATACCTCATTATGCCTACTTCTGGTAACTTTCTTTTATAAATAAAGATATAAGCTGGGCATGATGGTGCATGCCTGTGATCCCAGTGGCTCAGAAGGCTCAGGCAGGAGGCTTGAGGGTTCAAAGCCAGTCTCAGCAACTTAGTGAGGCACTAAGCAACTCAGTGAGACTCTATCTCTAAATTAAAATACAAAATAGGGCTGGAGATGTGGCTCAGTGGCTGAGTGTCCCTGAGTTCAATTCCTGGTTACCCCCCCTCAAAAATTAAGATATCAATATTTATTTCTGAATATTTTTCTCAAATAAATTCCTAACATCTCTGGCCAAGACACATGAATGCCAACATATAAAACTACAAAACATTTATCAATTTCCAAAGTTGACAGAAATATTATTATCACTACCTTATATTTATATAATCTACTCTTGAAGTTTGAAATATCTTACTAGTAGTGACTGAACCTAAAGAGAAATCTCTATAAATCACAGGTCCTTATCCTACATTCTCATCATGTTCTACTATTTTGCTTCCTGTTAAGTGGTAAGAAAAGAATATTCCTATTTGATTCTTCTGACATGTCTGTAATTTTATTATATCAATTTCAATATATTTAAGAAAACAGAGGTAAGAAAGCAACATGAAATAGGCAGATGACAAAAAATGTATATGTATATATATATATACGCATATATATACATATATATACACATATATATACGCGTATATATATGTGTGTGTATATATATATATATATATATATATATATATATATATATATATGTATAGCTTTCTTCTTTCTACAGGGCTCTGGCTTCTGCAGGTAATGAAGTTACTCAAAAATTGAGTTAGAAACTTTTTATCTCCAAAAAAAGTCAGGACTAAGGACAGTGCCTAAAACTATGCTATAGCAAGGTCCTGTTGGAGACAAACTCACCTGTAAGGGTGATGTCATCATCATCATCATCTATAATTTCTTCTTCAGCAACATCCAGTGAACTCTCAGTAATCATATCATTAGGTTCTTCCACACAGGCTAGACCAGCATAACTATTGAGAATATCAGCACCAGGAACATGCTCCACAATTACAGCAGGAAAAATAGCTGGATCACCAAGCTGGGAGGGGTAGGAGCAGAGGTAAAGGAAAACAAAAGATTAACAAAGTTTTGCTTTTGTTAGAAATAACCCAAAAATATTTTTAATAATTATTTTTTTTTAGTTTTAGGTGGACACAATATCTTCATTTTATTTTTTTTTTAATGTGGTGCTGAGAATCAAACCCAGTGCCTCACACATGCCAGGCGAGCACGCCACCATTTGAGCCACATCTCCAGCCCCAGCTACTTGTATCTTGACAATCCTTTTAAGCTGCAGAACTATATACCACATAAACTTTTTATTAATCTTGGATCTGAATAACCAAGTTGTCATTGGATATTCTATAAAAGAATTTTAAAATGATATTACATAAAAATGTAATAAGAATAAACCAAGAAGTAGCATACAAATACACAAATAAAATCTCAATAATTAAGTTTCTCTGGAAGAAAAAACAATCTGAGTTGAATAAATATTACACTGTTGCTTGGCACACAAGTCTCATTTTAACATTATTGACTCACATGGAAAACATCAGCTTTCAATTTCTATTGTCCCCTTCAAGCATGACTATATTAAGGATATAAATTTTTATTACTAATGACTGATTATAAAATCATGGAATTTTATATTGAATGGACCCTGAAAATTTAACCTAGTCCAACCACCTCATATTATGAGAAAACTGACACAGAGGGTTTTTTTTAACAACCTACTTAAAATTTTAAAAAGTGACAAACTTTATTAAAATTATTTAGCTTTTTTGTTTTGAAAAAATTTCAGACTTAGAAACTAACTGCAAAAAAAAAAAAAAAAAAGCCAGACATGGTGGCATATGCTATGATCCTGGCAACTTGGGAGGCTGACGCAGGAGGATCATTATGTTTGAAACCAGCCTTAGCAAATAAGCAAGATCTTGTCTCAAGGAAAAAAGAAAAAGAAAAATTGCAAAAAATAGCACAAAAAATTCTCATACAACCTTAATCCACATGACCCCAATTCTAACATTTAATCACATTTACTTTATCATTTTCTTCCAATACTTTTCCTGATTTATTTGAAAGTGGTAGACATATACCAGACAAAATGCTATAGTGATAATTTCCTAAATAATCAAATATTATTATATTGGTACTATTGGGATTGAACTCAGGGGTGCTTAACCGCTGAGCCGCATCCCCAATCCTTTTAATTTTTTTATTTTGAGACAATTTCTCACTAAATTGCTGAGGCTGGCCTTAAACTGCAATCCTCCTGCCTCAGACTCTGGTGTCAATGGGATTACAGGTCTGCACCATTACACCTGGTCAAATACGATTTTCTATAAGGGTGGCACAATTACCAAACCAGGAAAGTAACACTGACATTGTCTGAAGGATCATAGGTTTCATTTAGTAAACATTCTGTTTCTTAAGGACAACTCCTTTAATCTAATAGTTTCTTCTCCTTTAATTTGGAGCAATTCTTCAGCCTTCTCATTCACAATCTTAACACTTCTGAAGAGTGTGGGCATTTTGTAGAATGTCCCCCAATTTTGGTTCAGATAATTCTCATAATTAGATCCAGTTAGGGTTAAAGAAGTCACATGATGTCCTTGAAAATATGTTATGTCATGAAGTTCAAAATATTTATTTGTCCTACCATGGGAACTTTGATTACTTAGGGTTTCTTCACTATATAAAGTTACTATTTTTCCTTCTATAATTAATAAGTTTCTTGTAGGAAGACACCTCAAGACTATGTAAACATCCTGTTTCTTAACAAAGCATTTCCTCATAATCCAGGGGTGCCTCAACCCTTTTTATTTTGAGATAGGGTCTTATTAAAATTGCTTAGGGCCTTGTTAAACTTCTGAGACTGGCCTCAAACTTGCAGTACTCCTACCTTAAGTTTCCACGTTGCTGGAATACTGGTGTGTGCTACTGTACTCAGTTACCAAACTGAGGGACAACTGCAAATTACCACAAGTCATAGCTAGCAAGATTATAGCAAATAGTATAATCTTAAATGTGAGAAAAAGTTCCTGTTCATATTATAAACAATGATATTACTCCATAATGTCAAGTCCTTTGCTATTTTCCTCAAATCCACTATATTGAAAATATTATGATTTAATTATAACTAAGTAGCCTCAATATTAAAAATAAATTTACAGAACTGTACACTAAGGTTTGATATTACTTTAGTCAGAAGCATTTAACTACCTAAATTTAATATATAATCAAAGGTACTAAAGAGTTTCATTGCCTTCAAAAATGCTATGCTCTGAAATTTATGCATAATAACCCTAAGCACATCTGGATCATTTTATTTCAAAATGTTTCTTCCTGTTTCAAAAAAGAGGAAGTTAGGCAGAAGTAACTAGCTCTTCAAATTGTGAGATAAGTTTTAAAATAAACTAGAAGGCTCAACAATTATGTTGTAAGCACACACACATGCAATTAAGAAAATATTTTGTAAAAATATCCAAAGCAAAATATAGGCATTTGGCCTTTCCTTTCCCTTTCTTGAGAAATAACCAGTAACTCATTTAATCCAAACTAGCATAAATATTTGCTTGTTAAAGCACTTTGGCTTCTCTTCTCTCCTAAGAGTTCAACTTAAGCTCCAACTCTTCCTCTAACAAAACTGAGCACAGAGTTCAAAAAATTTTCATTTGACTTCATTTTATGCTGTTACAGCCTAGGTTTAAGGTTAGAACACAACTCACTACCCCATATATTGACAGATAAGGAATTTAGTTAAGAAACTTATCCAAGGACACCAAGAAACAGAGGTATGTCAAATGCAATTCACAGATGCAGTCCTCACCAAGATAAAACAAAAGTATTTCTCCCTATCTATCTGGCTCCTACAATTTGATAGAGACTGGCAAGGGCAATAATATTACGAAAATATTATAAACAATGATATTACTCCATAATTTTACCTGAATATATATATATATATATATATATTCCCAAGGTTTAAGTAACTGCAGATAATTTGTTACTATTTTCTTGTCTTATTCTACTAACCTATAATTAAACTGGAGAAGTGGATCACTGTTTCTCCAGAATTTATAGGTCTCAGGAATATGTTATCAAATATCAATATAATCAATGCAATTTCTACTCCAGTGCCATTCCCAGAGAAAACTGCTATTATCAGTTTCTTTGTTCCCTAACAGAGACAGTCTATGTACAGTCAAGCATAGTCTATTTTGCTTTTAAAAAATAATTTTAATTTCAGTTCAAATAATAGTTTAAAAACTATTAAGAAAAGTTCAGTGTAGGGATAAAATTCAGTAGTAAAACACTTTCCTGGCATACATGAGAACCTGGGTTACTCCCCAACACCAGGAAAAAAATAGAAGAGAAAAAAAAAGAGGAAAAAGAAAAATTACAAGCACAGAAGTAGAGAAAAAAATGCTTCCTTTGAAGCAAAAGCTAAACCCTCTTTGTCCCATCACCCCAGATGTGAAACACCTACAAAAACTTAAATATAGTATATAATATATAATATTATATAATACCATCAGTACTTTATATAAGCTTTAGAAACATCAAACCTACTTTTAATGAACCTGTGTCATTTCAGTGAAATACTGTAGAATATTTGAAAATTTGGGATTTACTGGGTTAATTAAGAGTGAAAAGGGACACATGACTTTGATTTAGAAGGCAGTAACATGCAGTCAAAAAAAAAAAACATGTGAAATCATGAGACATAGGGCCTTTTCCAGTGTCAAGGTCCTGACCATATTTTCCTTACTTTCAAGTAAAGGGAAAGCACCCAGTTGACCTAAAGACCATTCCATTTTGGTTTGTTAACATGTATTTTAAAGTTACAGACTCTAAAATTGTCTGAGCTTATAACCTTACAATAAGAGATACCATTTATTTTTATGCACTACATAGGGGAGGGAGTAGCATGTACAATGAACCCATAGCTTTGCCTTTGCTATTAGCATAACTTAACAGACTCTAGACATTTTCTTTAAATGATTAACACTTTTATCATTACAAAATTCTATGAGGGAGATATACTGGACTATATTTTTACAAAGGAATGTGGAGGCAAAGGGAAATACAATAGGCCCACTGTTCCTCAGGTTCCACATCAACAGATTCAACAAAACACAGATTGAAAATATTTGAAAACAACTCAATCAGTACTGAATACGTACAAACATTTTTCTTGTCATTATTCCCTAAAGAACACAGTATAAAGACTACTTAAAAGCATTTACTTTGCATTAAAGAAAATAATCTAGTTGTGCATGGTGGTGCACAACTGTAATCCCAGCAGTTTGGGAGGCTGAGGCAGGAGATCTTGAGTTCAAAGCCAGCCTTGGCAATTTACAGGGGCTCTAAGGAACTCAGTAAGGCCCTGTCTAAATAAAATACAAAAAAAACGGGTTGTTGATATGGCTCAGTGGTTGAGCGCCCCTGAGTTCAATCCCTGGTACCAAAATCATAAAGGAATAAGAAAAGTAATCTAGAGGTGATTTAAAGTATGTGCGAGGATGTGCCTAGGTTATATGCAAATACTATGACCATTTTACATAGGGTACTTGAGCTTCTGCAGATTTTATCCACAGAGGTCCCCAAACCAATCCCCCTTGGAAACTGAGGGACAACTGTAAATTACCACAAGTCATGGCTAGCGGGAGAGAGCACACAACTTGAACTCACTTCAGTTCTTTACCTGACAGTATAATAGTCAGCCTTAAATATGGTACAGTTTTGTTGTTGTTGGCTTATTTTCTTGATTCTATTTAGACAAACAGAATAAGTAAGGAGTGATTTGAATGGAGATATTATCTTTCCCAGGGCTTGAACCATCTGAGTCTATGATAAACTTTCTTTTTAATATTTATTTTTTAGTTTTCGGTGAACACAACATCTTTATCTTATATTTATGTGGTGCTGAGGATCAAACCCAGCGCCCCACGCATGCCAGGCGAGCATGCTACTGCTTGAGCCACATCCTCAGCCCCACCCCGTGATAAACTTTCTTGACATAGTTCTCTCAGT